ATTATGTAGTGGAAAAAAAAACTGATTAAATCAGATTCATTCACTGAAAATGTTCTCTCTTGCAGACTCATGTATAGAATGCAGATGAGGTACAGAGGTCGCTATTTATTATATGCAACATGACTTCTCTCATTAGGTGTAATTAAGGCCACAATTTTATGAATCACTGGCAAAACCTTTTACAATTTAAAATTTTGACATGAAAGATTCATGTGGTGCTTCAAGGAGCTTGTGATATAAAGCACGTTAGTGCAGCAAGTTTAAAGAGTCAGTCCACCAAAAATGTTTCATTTATGGATGTTAGTTTTTTTTTTTTTTTTAATTAGAAATGAGCAGATTGACTCATACAGTATCTGAAACACAGATCCAGCCTTGAGCCCATTATAGTTCAAAATATTCATTCAAAACACTGAAATGCCACAAAAGTACAGTTTTGACCTTATTTTATTATTGAACCTGTTGCTTTGCTTATACAGATATGACATTTTTTCCATGCCCTCGTCATGATACTTTTATTAATGCATTAAATACAGAGAATTTAGATTAGCCACTAGAGAGAGTTTTCAGTAGCTCAATGATATCATCTTCTTGCTTAAAGTGCACCAAAAATCTAAGGTCAGGATCAAATTTTTACAATGCCTTAATGCAAACACTGTAATGTGCAATACATCATGCATTAAAGCTGAATTCCAGGAAATCAGCTACTTTGGAAAATGTTCTGGATTATTAGGGGTTATGTCCAATGAGGTGCATGTCACCTTGTGGACTTATCTAATTTACTATAATAATTTTTAGAGTGCTGGGAGTGGAGCTCTTGCTATACTTCCAGCACCCTGATGCTGTACTTTCTGGTATCAGCTTCAGTAGCCATACAATCTCATGCAACCATTATACATGTCCCTCCCATCCACCTGCCCAATCACAGAGCACACTGTATTATGTGAACTTCCAGAGGTTCCTGTGAATGGTTCCTGTAAATGGGCAGCAGCGGGGAGGGACGAGCAGAGATGCTGTATATGAGAACACAGCATTACTACTGTGAGAGCTCCTGCAATATAGCAATACTGTCAGAGCTCTATAAAACTGTCATATGTAAATACAGACATAGGTCCAGGAAGTGGCATGTGCCTTGTTGGACTTAACTCATAGATTTTTTACAGATTGGCTGAATTCTTGGAGTTCAGCTTTAATGTGTGTTATGTTAAGGCAGCCTATTCATTTTGAATGGGCTTCTAATATATTCCAGCGCAGCTACTCCCATATTTTTTTCAGGATTACAACACATAGCAATTAACTACTATTGCAGCATGCAGCAGCACAGGTGCATTAGGGTGCCATATAAAGTTAATGGCAATGCGACATATTAATGTGAGCATAATAAAGTACTGCTCCTTGTGGTACCATGCATGGCACTGCAATGTAATAGTGTGACCCTGGCCTAAAAATAAACATACACAGTCCAATGGGTGGCTCCATATTATATCTAAAAATGCAAACAACATTGTGAAGATAAATGTAAAGAATACAGGATCTCCAGTCCTACCAAGCCGCCTAGGCAGCTCTTAGCTTACCTGGTCCACCTTGGGAGAATAATGTTAGCAAACTTTCTACTCCTTGGCTTCACAGGAAACAGTCTTTAATAAGATTCTTCACCCCATGATACTTCTTGTCCATTATGTTTTTGGTGCCCATGCTACTGAAATGTATAATGCAGCAGAAATGAATATGAGAATGTCAGTAATTTTGAATAAAGCAGCGGTCAGATATTTCTCAGGTATTGACTGTATCATAATGGTGCATCTCTGTATGGCATTACTTTTGTTCATCACAAAACCAGATTTTGAGAAAGCAGCTGTAAAGGCAATTGTATTCCTAATAGTGCACTTGTATGTACACTAAAGATAGTGTCAATTTTATTTTCCTAAATCACTATAATATACTTTACTGGTCATTTTCGTCTACTTTATGGATCCTCTCTCTCTCATTCCATGACCTGCTCTTTACTTATTTGAATCTTTGTTATTTCCTTTTTTCAGTCTTCCCTAACTTTAATATATTGTTTTGCTATTTGTAGAACTAGCCTTGGCATTTTTAAAATTTTCTATATAGCACTTCTGCTAAGATTCGATGAAGAGAGTGGATTTCTTATACGCTTTTTCTGACAGCTGAACAGAGAATAAAGTAGATATCATGCAGCACAGTGGCTAAATGGTTAGCACTTCCACCTGGCAGTACTAGAGTCATTGGTTTGAATCCCAACCACAGCACCTCCTGTCTGGAGTTTGCATGTTCTCCCTGTGTCTGCGTGGGTTTCCTCTGGGTACTCCGGTTTCCTCCCACACTCCAAAGACATGCTGGTAGATTAATTGGATCCTGTCTAAATTGGCCCTAGTATGTGTGAATGTAAGTTAGTGACCTTAGAGTGTATGACCCTTGAGGGTTAGGGACGGATGTGAATGTATAATATATATGAAAAGTGCTGCGTAAATTGCCAGCGCTATATAAGTACCATCAATAAATAAAAATATCACATACAGTTCCAAAATTTTAAAATCCTGTTTACATTTTTTTTCAGTACGGTATCAGCGAGGAGGACATTAATGAGTCATAGAGGACCACAGCAAAGCGTTATGTGGTTTTGAGTGGGAGAGACAGATGTAGAAAGGCAAAGAAGATATAGAAAAAAAAGTAATTTCCTTTCAGACACCTTTGTCTACATGGTAACTTTAGAGATGTTTCTAATAAGCTAACCTGATAGTTACCATTGGATGATGTTTTCACAACATGCAGTTAATTATAGTGGTGCCATCCATATCTTGTTTCCTCATAATATTACTGGGAGTAGGTTGGTTAATTTAAGTTAATACTGTAAATGTATAATATTACTACCTTTTCAAAGGAACAGTGGAGATAAGTAAATTAATAGGCGGTAGCAAATGATACCTAATTTTCATTCGAAGGATATCAAAGAGTGGACTTTTGCCATCACAAACAATATTCAGATATAGAGTTTTTAATGGGGTAACTGATTGCAAGTAAGTTTTATTTAATATAGCACAAATTTATTTTATATGTGGAAGGCATTTTTTAAAACCCAGCAAGTAAAAACTTATACATTCAGTCCTGGGTTAATGTATTGATTCCCCAAAAAAATGATGAAGACGACACATTAGGTCCCACTTGAATCTTACATTTGGTGAAATCAATAAAAACATACAGGATGTCTTAGTGGGAAAGTAATTTAAGCAAAACACAGACCAGACAAAAGCTGATAAGAAATATGTTTGCACTGTCATGTCCTAACTCTTCCCAGAGGGGCTCTTTAGTCAGTGGATTTATATCACTAAGTCATGTAATACAAGCAGTGTAGCACTATTGTTGCCAGTGTGGAACTTACCCTCTGTCTGCCTTTCACTGATAATCCATAAGGATTGGCCATGCCATGTAAAGAATAAAAAAAAGGATTACATTCCCCATTTCACCCCCTTTTGTAATGAGTTTGAAAGCAGTAAAGAAACTATTTTATTACATAATTTTATTAATACATATTTACTGTATTCAAAATAAACATTTATATGCGTATAATACTGTAGTTGCTTATAGTTACCATATATTCTGTAATAGAAAAAGAGTTCTAGTTTTAGTTCTAAATTGCTCAAATATTAGTTTTGATAACTTTAGGGATTCAAGTATTTAAACATGATGGCACTCAACTAAAATTGCCATTCTTTCATTATTTTATGACATATTATTTATTATTATTATGTTATTTATTATTATATGGCATTACAATTTTTTAGAACACATTATTCAATTGAATTCTATGAAAAATGAATAGACATCTGCATTCTTTTCTTTGTCTATCAATGCTGTAACTCCAGTAATAACCTCTTCCACAAAAGGATATAAAAGCAGATATATAATACAGTGACAGTGAAGGTATCAACACACAAAAAGCAGAATTAGAACTGCACAAACTGGCCTTGACATATACTTTCAGAGCTGGCAGATATGCATTTATAATTATACAATAAGAATCCCGGCTTTGGTTGAGTGCGGCTTTCAAACTCTATTGATCTAAAAGAGAAGACTGTAGCAGCAGGTGGCAGAGTGCAAAGTGTGGAAATATAATTGCTGGTAGAAACACCTGTATGGAGATAAAAGTAAGCAAATAAGAAACAGTCACTAAGCTGGATATGTTCTCAGCCTAAGAAAATTAACTGTACAAGCTAAATCCCTTTTAACGCCACTTAAAATTAAGAATATTTTTTAACATGAAATCCATTTTTCAGTATGTTTGGCATCATACTACACTGTATACAGATTTCTTAAATTTGAAGAAAAGTCTAAGTGAAACTGTTCCTAAAAATGTATTCCCCCCCCCCCCCCCTTCCTACCTATCCTGCCTAATCTGTATAAAATAGTTGTGTGTACTTCCCTACTTTTAATACACTCCAACTGATCACATCATTTAGCAGCCCTGGCTCAGAAAATGCTTGACAATAGCTGGGAATTCCAGGAGCTGGGACGTTACCTGTGATTGGTATTCCCTTCTCTTTTCCACAGCAGCAGCTCACTGACACAGGGGAGCCAAACTGTGGGATCACATGACCAGACCGGAGCAGATTAACCACTTGCCTACAGGGCACTTATCCCCCCTTCCAGGCCAATTTCCAGCTTTCAGCGTGTCACACTTTGAATAGCAATTGCGTGGTCATGCAACACTGTACCCATATGAAATTTTTATCATTTTTTTGTGACAGATAGAGCTTTATTTTGGTGGTATTTTATCACCTCTGGGTTTTTTATTTTTTCTTAAACAAACCAAAAACCACTGAAAATTTTGAAAAAAAAGTTTTTTCTTAGTTTTTGTTATAAAATTTTGTAAATACGTGATTTTTCTCTTTCACTGATGTGCGCTGATAGGCTGCACTGATGGACACTGATGAGGAGGCACTGGTAGGTGGCACTGATGAGCATTGACAGGCATCACTGATGGGCACTGAAAGTCAGCACTGATATATGGCACTGATAGGTGGCACTAATAGTCAGCACTGACTGGCACTGTTAGGCGGCACTGATAGGCAGCACTGACGGGCACTGATAGGTGGCACTGATGCACACTGATAGGCGGCACTGACTGGCACTGATAGGTGGCACTGACTGGCACTGATAGGTGGCACTGACTGCCACTGATGGGTGACACTGAAAGGCAGCTCAGATGGGCACTGTTATGTGGCATTGATGTGCACTGGTAGGCACTGATATGTGGCATTGATGTGGCACTGATGGGCACTGGCAGGTGGCATGGATGAGCACTGAAAGCTGGCACTGATGGACACTGACAGGTGGCACTGCTGGGGCTACACTAATCATCAGGGCACACTGATTATCAGTGCTATGATGATCAGTGCACACGTCCCCTCCGAGGAAGGCCGATTACCGGCTCTCTTCTCCTCACGAGCTGTCAGTGTGACAGCTCATGAGGAGAGAAATGCTGATAACCGGCATTTCCCTGTTTACATGCGATCAACTGTGATTGGACACAGCTGATCACATGACTGAGCCGACATCTTTGGCTCTTTCCGAGGATCTTTCCAATGGATCGCTCCGGGAGCCATGCATGCAGGGTGAACAAGAGAACTGCCTTACGTCCGTCATTGGACTATATGGCGGGTGGGAGGCAGTTAAAAATAGATACTGTAAGTATACAGCTCTTTTTTATTCAAGTTTAGACAGGATTGGTAAAGAAGGGTGAGGGGGAGGGGGTATTTTAAGAATACATAGGGGTTTATTTACTGAACTAAAGGTTCATTCAGAATCCCATGCACCTGTGCATGGTAGCCAATCAGCTTCTAACCTCAGCTTGTTCAATTACGTTTTAGCAATAAAACCTGTAAGCTGATTGGTTTCTATGCAGAAGATTTGGAATGAACCAGCTTTAATAAATAAACTCCATAGTGTTTGGCTTTTCTTCCACTTTAAGCAAATCATTCTTTGTGAATCTGTTGTATTTCTGTGAATCAGGTGAGTTCATTACCTGGAAATCCTGCCAGTTACAGCTGAAGTTTAGTGATCAGCATTAGGGACGTAACTTTCATGAATGTAGAGTGTCCCATGTTCTGCTGGCTGCTGTCTAGCTTGAAATCTTCAGTCCCCATCCTGCAGATACCCCCACAGTTGTAATCTTCCAGTGTTGTGGGGGTTAATAGAAGTGATTGCAGCTGTCACAGGCAATTGTCAAAAGTGCTGACTATGCCCGCCCCTTCCACCCCCATTCTTCCTTAATGGAAGCCCTACTATCGGTTCTGACAATGAAAAGTACTAATGGCCGTTTCCTGACTGGTTCCACTTTGCATACACATGTACAAAGCAATTAAAATTATAATTATGATGTATCATAATGAAATGGCAACTTGTGAAAGAATAACATACTTGTACATAAAAACATAGTAGGAAATATGTATGTTTGTCAAGGTTAATTGCAGTCTAACTCTAATTAAACTCAGCTGTATATTCTTATTCATGGCAGCTTCCATTTACATTTCATGCATACTGAGTGTTCCTATGTGATCTATTACACCGTGCAACACATCATTTGTAGCCTGCTAAGCATTTAACTATTCTGCATCCTTTTGCTTAATAGAACATCAGTCTTGCTGTATAAGAGTAGCAATAAATAAATAAAGTGTGTATCAATCAGAGGCTTTTAATCCTGTTTGCGGTGTACTGCGTTCTGACATGGATGCTGCTAAAAGGATTAAATATAACGATTTGTAGTTTGTTTTAGCTAAAGATTAAATTAAATTGCTAGGGTCAGTGAAATTTTATTTAAATACATGAATACAGTATACTGATCCAACCAGACTAGCACTAGAATAGAACTACCCAGATATACAAAATCACTGATAGATTGCTCATACTTTGAATGAGACATATAAAAGGAAATGCTATGAAGCTGGCATGTTTATAAATCATCTTTTTACATTTTTTTTTTCAAACATTTAGCATTTTTATTGTTTTTATTACACATAACATTATTACAGCATCCAGGTTCTGTGCTGTTTCAGATATTCTGAGAACTCTACTTACAGCACTTCCCTATGTCAGTCCGGTTTCTTTTAACCTCCCTGGCGGTAATCCTGAGTGTGGCTTGGGGTTCATTTACAGTACCACAAGCGGTATCCCCAAGCCACACTCGGGATTACGCTGTAGTGCTTGTCCTGCGATCCCCCGATCCTTACCTTGTCCTACGATCCCATAATGTCCTCCCACTGTGTCCCTGGCCATGTCCTCCAGCCGATGCCGGCATCCGTCTTCTGTTCCCTGCGAGCGCTGGGACGTAGAAGGGCAGAACCGATGAGAAATTCAAAAAAGTTATAATATGACATACACAGAATACCTGACGCACCATAAGACGCGTCTAGGTTTTAGAGGAGAAAAACAAGAAAAAAAATATTCTGAACCAATGGACTGCAGACACAGTACAGGGGATGACCAGAGACTGCAGACATAGTACAGAGGATGACCAGAAACTGCGGACATAGTACAGGAGATGACCAGAGACTGCGGACACAGTACAGGAAATGACCAGAGACTGCAGACATAGTACAGGGGATGACCAGAGACTGCGGACATAGTACAGGAGATGACCAGAGACTGCGGACACAGTACAGGAGATGACCAGAGACTGCGGACATAGGACAGGGGATGACCAGAGACTGCGGACACAGTACAGGAGATGACCAGAGACTGCGGACACAGTACAGGAGATGACCAGAGACTGCGGACACAGTACAGGAGATGACCAGAGACTGCGGACAAAGTACAGGAGATGACCAGAGACAGCGGACTCAGTACAGGAGATGACCAGAGACTGCGGACACAGTACAGGAGATGATCAGAGACTGCGGACACAGTACAGGAGATGACCAGAGACAGCGGACTCAGTACAGGAGATGACCAGAGACTGCGGACACAGTACAGGAGATGATCAGAGACTGCGGACACAGTACAGGAGATGACCAGAGACTGCGGACATAGTACAGGGGATGACCAGAGTCTGCGGACATAGTACAGGAGATGACCAGAGACTGCGGACACAGTACAGGGGATGACCAAAGACTGCGGACACAGTAGAAGGAATGACCAGAGACTGTGGACATAGTACAGGAGATGACTAGAGACTGCAGACACAGTACGGGAGATGACCGGAGACTGCGGACACAGTACAGGAGATGACTAGAGACTGCGGACAGTACAGGAGATGACCAGAGACTGCAGACACAGTACAGGAGATGACCAGAGACTGCAGACATAGTACAGGGAATGACCAGAGACTGTGGACATAGTACAGATGACCAGAGACTGCAGACAGTTCAGGGTATGACCAGAGACTGCAGACAGTAAAGGAGATTACCAGAGACTGCGGACCTTTGGGGAGGGAGGGGGAACGGGTACCTGAATTTGACAGGTACCCACTCCCACTTCCGCAGAGTTGTCCTTCCCTCTTCTTCCCGGGCCGGCTTCTGTGACAGCCGGGTGCCCACTACGCATGCGCCAGAAGCACTGCGCTTTGTGAATGGCCCGGAGCCTTCTGGGACCTGTCATGCATCCCAGAAGACACTAGACCATTCACAAAGCGCGGCGCTTCTCGCACATGCGCAGTGGGCACCCGGCTGTCACAGAAGCTGCCGCGGGAAGACTACAGCGCTGGAGCGAGGAACAGGTAAGGTCCTGCAGGAGAGAAGAGCTGAGCGGCCGGCCCAATATTCTGACATGGTGGCGGCAGAAATACCGGACCGGCCGCTTTACATTCGCTCCATAAGACGCACTAACATTTTCCCCCCGTTTTCCCCCCGTATTAGGATACATTACTGTATCAAGCCATTTCACATGGCCTACAATATAAAACAACAAATTTCTATGCAAAACAATGTACCGCTTTGACATTCAAAAATACTGACATAATCAGACTGCTAGGGAGGTTAGAGGTTCATGTGCTTACTGGTACTTGGCTAACCCTCAGGACATGAACATAAAGGGGTTTATTTACTAAAATTGGAGAGTGCAAAATCTGGTGCAGCTTTGCATAGAAACCAATCAGCTTCCAGGATTTTTTGGTGAGAGCTTAATTGAACAAGCTGAAGTTAGAAGCTGATTGACTACCATGCACAGCTGCACTAGATTTCCCATTCTCCAGTTTTAGTAAATCAAATCCAAAGTGTATTTACATTTTTACAGCCAAGTTATAACACGTACTTAATATTTGTTACATGTCCCCATTTACATAACATAACTATTACATAAAAAATATCATCTTAACTTTTTTAGATGCTCTATTCTGGACCCTCCAGGAAGAAAAGATGCTAGGTAGCTTTCTTTGTTACTGTGCAGCTGTGTTTGCCATGATTATCCCTTTCTGCACTACGCCAAAGATCTTCATTATCAAATGTAACTACATTTGAATGCTGTCGGTCCTAAAACAGAGGTGGATGCTGGGATTCTTGCACTGTATGTTAATGAGGACAGATTTGGGACAGACTCACTCTAACATTGTTCAAAAAACCTTGCAGTCAGCCATGAAACCATCTTCTGAGAAACATCTAAAAAGTAAGAAATATTTAAAAAAAATAGCAGACATGCTGTTTGAATTGACAGCACATATGAAACATAGTGTATAGTGGGGTTTTAGTAAATTTGACTGCAAAAGTGGAAATATGCTTTAAATATCTGTGTACCAGCCCCATTTCCAGTACCATTTGATCTGCTGTGACCAATCACAGCAGATCACATGACAGTTGCATACAGTGGATGGCTTCCTTTCATGCCATCCATTGTATTCTAGTGTGTCTAGCTGTGGATGGTCACAGGGATCACATGCACAAGCTGGGCCAATCACAGCCCAGCTGTGTCATGTGATTAGCTGTGGCCAAATCACAGCTAAGCACAAAAAAAAAACCCCTGAATGAATCGATGTAATTCAGGTTAATGCTTGCTTATAGCAAAGTAATTATTTGCTATAAGCAAATTGTGTAAAAAAAAAAAAACATTACTGATCACTTCCCCAAAGTAGTACAATGTTACTATGGTAACATTATACTACTTTGGTCATAGTGAAATATGAAAAAAAATCAAAAAAAAGAGAAAAAAAAATTAAAACTAATAAAACATTTTTTAAAAAATTATAATTTTTTTTTCGTACTGTCACCAGTCAGTGTCCCTGATCACCTCCATGCCAGTTATATGATGACGCTGTACTGCACTGGTGACAGTATGTAAAAAAAAAATAGTGAAAATAATTGTTTTCCAAAAAATGACCAAAAAAATTACAACTTCAAAAAACTCGCTAAGCCTCGTATGAAATACATCGGACTGTCTACTTTGCAAAAAGGGGTCATTTGGGGGATATCTGTACTATTCTGACATTCTTGGACCTCAAGAAATTAGATTGGCCGTCAGTACTTCAGGATTGATCAATATTCAGATATATCCCATAGTTTGTGAACTCTATAACTTTCCTACAATCTAAATAATACATCCTAATTTGGGTTTTTTTCACCAAAGAAATGTAGTAGAATACATCTTGGCCTAAATGTATGATGAACAATTATTTATTTGTAAACTTTTATAAACAGAAACAAAGAAAAACTTGGAAAACTTGGGTTTTTTTGTGCAAAATTTTCATTTTTTTTGTTAATTTAGCAAAAAATAAAAACCCCAGTGTTGATTAAATACCACCAAAAGAAAGCTCTAGTTGTGTGAAGAAAATGATAAAATTTTAGTTTGGGTACAATGTTGTATGACTGCGCAATTGTCATTCAAAGTGTGAGAGCGCTGAAACCTGAAAAATGGCCTGGGCAGGAAGGGGGTAAAAGTGCCCGATATGGAAGCGGTTAAGGAGCAGGCCGGGAAGCTGGCCACCAGATCCTTAACTACTGATGACTCATCAGCTGTCAGTGGATTTCCCCCATACGCATTCACATGGGGGGAGGCCTGAAATCGCTCCCCTCCCCCCCCCCCCCTTTTCCTGACTTGCCGGACTGCATGCTCAGATAAGGGTCTGGTATTGTATTTTTCCTTAATTTTTTAATTGTTGCCATTATTTTGTTTACATTCAGCTGTCAGTGGGGAAAAACCCTGACAGCTGACAAGTCAGGAAGGGGGTAAAAGTGCCCGGTATGGAAACTGTTAAGGAGCAGGCCGGGAAGCTGGCCACTGTGTCCGTAACTACTGATGACTCATCAGCTGTCAGTGGATTTCCCCCATACACATTCACATGGGGGGAGGCCTGAAATCGCTCCCCCCCCCCCTTTCCTGAATTGCCGGGCTGCATGCTCAGATAAGGGTCTGGTATTGATTTTTTTTATATTTTGGCATGGGGTTCCCATTAAAATCCATACCAGACATGCTATTTTTTTTCCTTAATTTTTTAATTGTTGGCATTATTTTGTTTACATTCAGCTGTCAGTGGGGAAAAACCCTGACAGCTGACGAGTCATCAGTTGTTAAGGACACGCCGGCCAGCTTTCCAGTCAGCTCTTTAACCTCCCTGGCGGTATGATTATTTCAGATTTTTGGTGCTGAAAGCGGTACCATTTTTTTGCATGGAAATATGTATTTTTTTATTGTAGGCCTGTAATTTAGGAATAACTCCCTGAAATCTGTCCGAACAAGAGTCTAGTAAACATTCCGGATATGATAAAACTTGAAACACGAAATCATAAATTATAATTTAATAAATACTCATAAAAAATAATAATATAATAATAATAAATTTAATTCAATAATATAATCAAACCAAAAACAATGAAATTTGAAATATAGCGCCAAGTTCGCACATCACTGAGCAAAGTCGCAAAATCGTTTTCAGTGTCTGATGACAAATTTCCCCCATGAATCATTATCACTCAATTCTGCAAGTAGTTCTGATTTACTATCACTGTTCTCTAGCTGGTCTAAAACCGATTTTGACCTAAAGGGACGCTTTTTTTGGACGCCGTGGACTTTTCTAAGTTTCCAGGCAGAAAGAACAGTCAAAATGCAGGCAGGGCACAGGACAAAGCATTAGGGACAAAATGTATGTGAAATGCTTTGATACAGGAATGTTTTGCTATGAAATAATCGTTTTAAAAAAAATGTCATTTTTTTTAAATTTTCAAATTTGCTGCTGGTTCCGGCGCCCGTATGTCCCGACGTCACAGGAACCGTAACACGGAAGCCAGATGCCGGCATCGGCTGGAGGAGATGGCCGGGAACACTGCAGGGGACGCATCGCGGGAGCGAAGGACAAGGTAAGCGCTGTAGGGAATCCCTGTGCAACGCCACATGGTAAGCCCGAGTGTAGCTTGGGGTTACCGCTTTTGGTACTGAAACTTTACCCCGAGCTACACTCGGAAATACCGCTAGGGAGGTTAACAACCAGCTATTCTTCGCACCAAATTCGGTCGATACATTTTTGCTTCATATATACTGTGTTTCTGCCTATGTTATGCTCAGACTCTACCTGTCTCTTAAGTAATTTGTAGTAGAAGACTATCAAAGCTCCCAACTGTCTATGCAAATATGTCTCTTATGCCCTCTTACCAACATATAGCTATAAGAAACATATTTTTCTTTTTCATACTTTTAGTTGTCATTTTTTATTGCCAAATCTAATAAAAAAATACCAGAAAATAATTTTTGATAAAAGCAGAAAAACATTGTATAATTTTTTTAATGTAATTAGTTAGAAAGCTTACATTTCAAAGCCTATAAATCAAAAAGCTATAACTGCGCAATGCTTTATTTCAGGATATTCCCGTTACCGTTCCAAAAAAAGACTTCAGATTATTTATGCAATAAGACACACGAAGGAATGAATCACACTTTTTCAAGCCTTAAGGCAAATGACATTTCAGGCAAGGCAATGTTGCTAATATAGCAAAAAAGATCATTTTTGAAGAAACAGATTGGAGTTGAAATTTACTTTAAGAACAAATTAGAAGTGGCGATAGAATTTCCTGCCTGTCAGTTTAGAAATGCTTAGGTAGGTAAAACTCCTGCCAGGATGTACTTTGTTATCCCTTCCAATTTTCTGCTTTGTTTTCTGAAACAGCTTTTGACAGTTAATACTAGTTGCTGTTATTTCATGTTTTGCAGCTTAAAAATATGTAAAACAAGAACCTAAACCCCCCCCCTAAAAAAAAACAAAAACACACACATACACACACACACACATATATTTATATATACATACATACACTGTACAGTATATATATATATGCGATAGGGTACATTTACTAAAGGCAAATAGAATGTGTATTTTGCAAATGCAGTGCGCTCTGCATGTGTAATAGTGGTATGATCCTCCTGCGCTCCTAACTAAAATACCTCCTGACCGTGGGGAGCTGCTAACACCTAATCATATACCATGTGACAAGTACAAATCTTAA